TTTTTGTCCGTTTTTGGTCTTTTTGTTTGTCTTTTTTGGTCTCTTTGGTTCCATTTTTGTTTGTTTTCTGACTCCATTTTCAAGAGTGGACACAAAATTATGAAAATCTATCTATCTATCAATCAAGATCTACCAATCGAAATCTATATCTCTATCTAAATCTATCCATCTATGTATCTAACAGGTCAGGTCTTGGTCTTTTTGTATCTGTTATTGGTTTCTTTGGTTTCATTTTCGTTTGTTTTCTAACTCAGTTTTCAAAAATGGACACAAAATGATGAAAATCTATCTATCTTTTAGGTCAGGTCTTGGTCTTTTTGTGTCTGTTATCGCACTTTTTTTTGTCAGTTTTTGTTTTTTTTGTCTGTCTTTTTTGGTCTCTTTGGCTTCCTTTTTTGGACTTCTAGGTCTGCTCTTGGTCTTTTTGTGTCTGTTTTTGGTTTCTTTGGTTCCATTTTTGTCCGTTTTTTAACTCAGTTTTAAAAAATGGACACAAAATGATGAAAATCTATAAATCTATCAATCAGAATCTATATACAGTATCTATCTAAATCTATCCATCTATCTATCCATCGATCTATCTATCTATCCATCTATCGATCTATCAGGTCAGGTCTTTTTGTGTCTGTTTTCACTCTTTTTGTCCGTTTTTGGTCTTTTTGTTTGTCTTTTTTGGTCTCTTTGGACACAAAATGATGAAAATCTATAAATCTATCAATAAAAATGTATCTATCTATCAAAATCTATCTATCTGACTATCCCTCCTCCTTCTATCTGAACTGGCCCGGCCTACCTGGGCCACGTGGATGAACTTGGTGAAGACCTGGGCCCTCTGCTGGGCCGTGTGTCTGCTGAGGATCATGAGCTGGACCCACTGGGACACGCCGTTGCACATCATGACCGAGCGCTCCAGCGCCGGGTTGTCCCGCACCGAGCCGCGCACCACGTAGCTGTGGTAGTCCAGGAACTGGGACCAGACGGGGGACGGGTGTTTAGGGGGGTTAAGGTGCAC